TCTTCGATGCGCGCCCGCTGACAAAGCCGATGAAGCTTCGCGGCAAGCTAACTAACCGCCATCCGAAGGCTGGTTCAGCCAGCAGCATCGCTGGCAAAAGAAAGGGAGGGTGAGAGAGAAGACGGTGAATCCCAGTGTTGAAGCAGCACGGCGGTGCAGGCCGCACAGCAAAAAATTGCAATCTTCCACTCCCAGAAAGCACGTGCTGGAAATCCAGGTGCTGCAAGAAAGGAGGTAAGCCGGCACGGCACCAAAAACGCACACTTCGAGTGTTCCGTCGTGTTTTACCACGACATGATCAGGGCCTGTATCTCCGCGGAGCGGAGGAAGAAGAACAGCCAGGCCGAATCGAGCATGCCCAGCTCGACAGAGCGGTAGCATTGCTTGCAACAAGTTGCAGGGAAGTGAGGCAGCTCGGACTGGCTCTGATTTACACCAGTTCAAGCAGAAATGTATTGAGGTAAACAATCTCGGCCACACCCGAGTGAAAACCCTTTTCGGGCACAGACGGTAGCTGGGAATCCCAAGTTGCCTCTGGTTGAGAAGGCTAGCGCAGCAAGGATCTTCGATATGCAGCATGGGGCTTTGTTTCACCCCGTCAGCACTAGGACCACGACTGGCCGAGTTGGCTGCATGCGGGCTGTCTGTCGCGCCAATATATTGGGCCTTTTGCGGTTTGACCTTCGCTTGGCGATCACGTGATACACCAGTGGAGTCAAGGACATGAAAAAATAATTCCTTGCGAATTCTCCTGCCTCGAACCTCGAACGCCGTCTGAAGAACTCGGACAACGCTCCCAACATCTCGCGCGTCAATTGGTCATCCTTCTGCCGCCAGGCGAAAGACAGTTGCGCCAGCGCCAGAGAGAGGGTTCCTCCTCCCTGCACTGATGTTTCATGCATGAGTTTGGCCGGGGCATTGAGTGGTGGAGACGGACACACCACAGATGTGATAGCCGGTTGGACCCACCGCCTGATGGATGGCGACCCGACAGCTTTTGCCCAACGAAGCTTGATGGCACACTGTAAGCCACAGAAGAACTGAACAGAAAGGGCGGCTCGTATTCAGTCGGCACCCCAACATCTTCTACATAGGGCGGTGCGAAAATTGCTTCACCGCTCTGAGCGAAACACGGCTGCTGCCAGAGGCTGCTTATGTACGTGGCACCTCAACAGCTCTACAGTCCAGCCCAGCGATTGTTTATGCAACTGAACCAGGCCATTCAGTGTACTTGCAGGACGTATCGAACTAGTGCATTAATGTAGCACCAACAGCCACAACGGAAAAAGCTGAAACGGCTCATGAGGTCCACAAGCGCTCGGTGGGGAGACTAAGGCTCATGCTGGTGTGTGCGCCCCGTCTGAGGCGAGACCTCAACCAGCGACGCAGCGAAGGGCCGTGCCTGGGAAGGTTCGGGGTTCGGCCGTCTGACAGACTTCGTGGTTGGTAAGGCAGGTCTTGTCATTTGCCGCATCTGATCTCTCGAATCGGAAGTTTGCTTCGGTTTGCTCTGGGAGTCGGGTTCTGCCTCTCGTCACTTGCTGCCAGGCTTCGGCAGCCCAGCTGCCAAAACGAAGGACCTGCTCGTGTTCGGAGCACGATCCACCCTGTGTATAGATGCAAAGCGCTTCAAACCAACACAGATTGTGTGATAACGACAATTTCGGCAGCTGGCCTTGACGATGGTTTCAGCAGCCTTGCCCTGCAGCGGCTCGGAAAGAGTACATTCGTGAGGCCACGATGGATGCCCGAAGACAGCAGCATGATAAACCTCAGAATCTGATGGCACAGCAGAGAATCCCCACGTGGTCGAGGGCATCTACACACACTTGTCAATGGACCTAAGCCGAGGCTCAGCTAGAAAGGCGATGCATCTGTTTAGAGAATGCAGGCACGTAGGAACAAACTCCCGCACTGCATCAGGAAGAACAGAATCAAATGAAACATCTTGCATGGCTTGGCCAGCAGTACGCACAAAATCAAACTTTTAAGGGCATGCATGCCTGCACGGCGCTCCCAGCGATTAATCACTCAGCAGGAGCGTTTTGCTGCTGACACACACGCAAGCGTGCAGCAACAGATTGCTTGTCCATCCAACCCCGACGAATTGACACTAGAACCAGCAGGCATTATCATGAACTCGTGTCTCCAGTCAGCCCGACACCGAAAAAACTCTGAAGGCAGAATGGGTATGCGCCCTGAACCTTTCAAAACGGTCGAAACGAGCCAAGCGACCTTCTTGACCTGCAAAGCAGCGCAGAGTGCTTTGGGATTAAGTAGCGCATAGATCTGCAGCACGTGCTGAGCAGCTGGAGCAAGATTCGCGCAACTATGCTAGGTTGTCGTTGTTGCATCTTGTTAAAGAATCTTGTTCTGAAGAGACAGTCTTCGTCGTCTCTTCGTAGCTTCTCACTCTCGCGCCTGGCGTTTGGAAAACCAGCTCAGGCTTTGCCGCGCAGCATCGCGGTTCAGTGCAAGGAGCAAAACACCTGGCACCGGGCAACGGGATTCGATGGGATTCGGAAGCATCTTCGCAGGAGATTGCATGTTCTTCGGGCACGAGGCGGCTAAACTCTTCGTCGGCCAGGTTGAAGCACCCGGTGGTCTGTTGAGCCTGAGGTGCCATAATCGAGTCGATGACAGAGGCGAGGAGATTCATGAGGATAGGCACCTGGAGGTGCAAGGACAAGTGAGGCGTTTCGGCTTCATTCCGAACCTAGAAAAGCCTGAGGACTCCGACAACGCCTTTGAATGCCCAACACCCTCGCCATCCCTCGCCGGCCTCGCACCCAATCCATGAGTGGCAAGTCCTTCGGGAGCCGCTTCCTGAGAGGCGTTCATGCACCCAGTGTTAGATTAGTACCGTTCTTAGGTGTGTCCTCCTTCAATGATCACGGCCACGGCGCTTGGGATGTGTAGATCGAATTGGAGACTTGATGTTGCTCTAGGCAGGAAGTCGAAATTGATGCATATGCAAACTCTAAGCTGTTGCTGCAAGGGTCTTGTGGTACAGCAGCCTGTTGAAGGGCTTGTGCAGTACCTCGTGTCGAGGGACTGGTGCACTCTGTACAATCGAAGCTGTTCGGCCACCAAGCCACTACGAAGCCATGGCCTTGGCTCGCCCACACCTCGTCACAGGATATTCTTCAGTGCTGCTGCTGTCTGTCGTTCTCTGCAACTCTTCCGGCAGCCATGCATTTGAATCATGGTTGACCTTGCCGTGTGACTGGTATGCGCAACTTAAGCCTTTATGGCCAGCGATGTTTCAGCCCATTGCAAGCCGCTCTTTTCAGTGAAGACGAGCTCAACCAAAAGTACTTCCGGCTACCATTGAATACCGGATCGTTCACTATCGGCATGCGAAGCACGGCCCAACAGCCCCAGGCCTCGTGTGGCGTGAAATCAGCCAAGCTCTCGGGGAAGCGGTCCAACAGCTGCAAGCACTGGCATCCTCATGAGGATTTGGCATGTTTGCTGCACAAGGCTACAACTTGTCACTGAAGCACCCAACTTCACGAAGCAATGGCAGCTCACTAAGTCATCCCAACCTCGTTCCTGAACAGACACGCCCAGCGTCGTGAGATTTGGCCAATGTTGGTCAGGTACGACCACTGCCTGACTCATTTCGCAGACAGAGCTTGGTGCTGTAGCATGCTGTAGCTGTAGCGGTTGCCTCTGTTGCCCTCCCATGCACTGAGCCATGCCCAGCCTGAGCCGGGCCATGGCATCATCCCCAGTAGCCCATTGTAGAACCTCGAGACTCGCAGACCGTGTGGGTTCGGTAGCCTGAACCGTGCTGTCGTTTAGGTCACGGTAAGTGAAGCTGATGCCCTCTGGTTCTTGTCCACACTCTGAGGCTCTGAAGGCGAACAGAACAGTGCAGACACGCCAATCTCAACAAGATCATCCACCACGGCTTACATAGGTTCTGGAACCATCGAGTAAAGCTGAGCCGCTCTGAAGATTCTGTCGAGACACCACGAGAACCAGACCCGGAGAGAAGTTTTGTGGAAGTGCAGCAGCTCCAGATAAACGTTCCAGATTCGTCAATACTGAATCCTTCGCCGCAAGAACCTCGAAGCATTCGAACTCGCACCCTCGTGCCTGAGCTCCTGCAAGAGCTTGCAAAGGCTCGGGTGCTACCGCAGCCGGCAGACCTCGGATCAAATGCTCCGCGGATCTACATAAAACGTCGCAAACAAATTCCCGTATGTCTCGGCCCTGGATTGCTTCAGCTGATCAAACAGATGCCACACGAGCGCGGTAATGGAGTCATTCTTCCAAAGAAAGCGGGGGAGACACTGGGCTCTCCAAGCAGCCCAGGTGCGATGCACTTCCTCAAGCTGGACCAGATATCGGTCAAAGTCATGGGGCACCTCCACCGATGTCGGCTCCTGTCACGAAGCTGAGTTCACCCCGAAGAGCTGTTACGAGGTTCTGCGCGACAGGCGCGAAAAGACACGACACCCCAGAACCACAACATAGATCTATGCCAGGCCATCCGCCAGTGCATGTTGGTCAGGGTACAACCCCCCGACTGTCGTGCGAAAACGGCCGTGCAGACTGAAGACGAAAAAAGTCGACGGTTCAATGCGCAGTTTTAATCACCTCGGGCAGATCTAGGGTTTCAAGTGACATAAAGAAGTACGGAAGCAGCAGCGATCAGCCACGAAGTACGGGCATGAAGTTTCGGCTTCTGGATTTGCGGCAGACCCCGGGACGCAGAAACGCTCTGAGGAGATAGGAGTCTTCAGGTCCACAGACAGCAAGGGCACACGCTTACAACGTGCCACCACCGCTGCACAAGATTTAGAATATGTTTCCGCGATTTCCCAAGGCACATGAGTTTTGGTATGCTCTTCGTTGAGGTTCTTGTAGTTGCAGGCATGGCTGACTCGGGATCGCAAGATGGGAACTTTCGCAAGCCACTCAGACTGCATCAGGGCCTTCGCACATCCTGTCTTGAACCCCCACAACCCCATGCCCGGCCACCTCCTCAAGCAAGCATAGTTCCAGTCTCGTCAGGTGCAAGAACACCCGATAGCAATACAGCGCGGCATCTCCGAACGGTGTCCTCGGGGTTCCATATGTCGGGCTGATGACTTGCTCAATGCTGAGTCCCTCAAGGCTCTGAACTCAGGTTTGCCAAATTGTGCCAAATGCTGGTAGGATCAATGCTCGCAGGAGCGACGGGAAAGCGGCTCAATCTCACGCGATGCCGCTGGAATCCGTGCGAACACGGCGAATATTGGACATAGGGTGGCATGTATAGCATGGTCGGATCCTGAAGCTCATCGGAACTGTTAATGCGAAAGCTGTATCACATCTGACAAACTACAAGACAGCTGTGAAGATTGAGATAGCACTGCGACCGGTTGCGAAGGATCCGGCTGCTGTCATCGCAAACGTTCAACAGGGATAGCCCCACGGCCAACTGGTACTATGCCAAGTGTCTCTGGCATGTCCGCATGGCGAACGTCTCCCAAGACCGGATGGCCTGTCGCCCGGAGGTGCTCCTGTCAGAGGCACTTCAGAGCAGACATGACTGTCCAGTCGATGCTTTGACAATGAGACAGCTTTAGTCTCCAGAGGCTGGCAGAGAGAGCGGCTGGGTGTTCTACCGGAAAAGCGGGTCCGGCCTGGATCTGATGCGTCCGCCCAACCTTAAGAATCCGCCAGCCAGGGATTTCAGAGCTTCCGTGGTGACTGCAGGTTGCAAGCCCACCTCTTTGCAGCTGCGTGGCCATCGTCCAGGCCTCCACAAGAGCGATCGGCTGCGGTTCTCTGCCGCCAATGACCTGGACTGAACTGAAAGGGCAAAGTCGGCCTTAAGCCGCTTTTAACGACTTCGCAATGTCTGCCAATTTTTGCTCCGAGTAACAGCCCAGAATCCTCGCCTCAGGGTCTTGACCCACGTCCAGGGCCGCCCTCCTTTCACCTTCCAGGCCAAGCTCCATTTTGAGTCAGCACATCCGTCATCTCAACAATCTGCTTGAGTCTCAAAGCGGGAATCAAAGCCGATAGAACAACGGTCTTTCAGCGATATCATGCGTCGGACTCCAGCTCTACATGTTTGTCTCGGCCAATCCAGCAATCTCCGGCCCTCCCAATTCACTGTTCCCGCCCACCGGGGTGTCGAGCTTTGCCTCATCCCAGCCTGAGGCTCCAAATGATCCAAAGCTTGATCCAAGATCTCGGGATTACACGCTTCAGCTTGAGTCTGTTGATGAAGGGCAACCAACAGGCTCAGAAACAGTGGACTCATTGGACGCTTGCGGAGGCCTGTGCATTTTTCCGTTCCGAGTAGCTCGGATGACCCAGAACCAGGGCGTGGAAGACTCGCTTCACCTGAGTTGAAAGGCTGAAGATCGTCTCGTCGACTTGCCAAGGCACAGGATCCAGGGAAATCTCTGCCGCATGACCTTGTGCTCCTGGAACAGGAGCTTGAGACTTTGCAGCCTCTCTGACTTGCTTCCCATGAGCAGCACCTGGCATATGCACAGCTGACCATGGCCGTTTGTGACTGCACTGCCGGGGCCCGGGCTCCGGAGACCTCATCTTCGAGGCTGTGGCAGACCTGGATCTTCTTCTGAAATTCTGCCCGAAACCAAGCTTCCACCTGGAAGGCACCAGGACGAAAATCTTGGTAGAAGAAATCTGGCTGAGCCTAAGTCTAGGGCCGTCTGCTCAAATTCGAAGGCTTGCTCCTAGCAGGCCGCAACGAGAGAGCTTCCACATGCTGGGGTCAGCCCGCATCCTTGGCGAAGCAGCGAACGTTGCGGGGCTTCGATGCCGCCACGATAAGAGGACGCTCGGAGACATGTCGGACGGCAACCTGGGGCCAGAACGTTCAGCTTAGGCCCAGGCCTTCCTGCAACCTGGCCTGGGAGTGGCAACACTCATGAAGGTGTGGAGGGGCGAACAGATTGCTTTGCGGTAAAGGTGTTCTCATATCCGTTCTTCGACATGCGATGGGCTCTCACTTCAGAGAACTTTCGTGAACCCTGAGACCGAATCTCTCGAGCCTGATGCTTGCAACCCTTCCGGGTTAAAGTAACCCGGGCCTGAGTCCCGAACCTAAACCCCGAAAGCGTCCGAAGGTCTATCTCGCGATCCCTCATTCCGATGGTGGTCCCAGGCACGATCTCACCGTCCAGCAAACATTCTGGGAATGTCTCCACAAGACGGAGAGCTTGCTCGTGAGATATCTTGCCTTCCGTCGATTGCAAGCGAATCCAGAAGACAGTCTTCGATGTGCATGCAGCCACAACAAGAGAAATTGGGGTCGGTGTCAAGACTGCCCTGCTCAAAACCCTGAGCGGTGCAGGCTGCTCGTGCCAATGTAGGTAATGTGAGTACCCGAACATACCCGGGCTCTCGCCTCTTCGCAGCCAGAAGTCCAGCTGCGAGGTGCGCTTGGCCGAGTCAGCATCGACAGCACCTGCTCAAGGTCTGCTGCATTCTTTCGCAGCCTTGCACGAAGCCCTGAACGGAAACATAACTAAACAACAAGCACGTGCCGGACGATGAGGATGTGGACATGGATGAGCATTATGCAGGTAGGTCCGAGATTGCTTCTGCCGATGTTGGGGGGGCAGTTCTGCGAGTAATGGTGGTGATGGTGACAGTGGCGATGGTGCTGATCATAATGGTCAACTTCGGACTCCGAGCGGAACCTCGCAGCTGCTGCCAGCGCCCCTCTGCGGCTGCAGGTGTGCCGGAGCTGGGCATGCGCCACAGGCCATAGCACTGTTTGGCCGACACCGTAGTCTACACCGAAGTTCATGGCTACACCGTGCCACAACACATCAAGAAGCCGAACACTTGAAAAGAGAGCATGTCTCTTGTTTCGTGAAACGTTTGCTCTTCCGGTTCATGTAATTCTGGGTCTGGGGACTTCGATGCAATGCCACTACATACATGTACGTTGGAAACGGAAGAGAGACTGTGAGAGACGGGGCGCACAGTCAGCAAGCGTTTTTGCCGACCAGGCTCCGGAGGATGACGAATTTCGCACAGGCGTGGTGGCAAAGGAAAAGCGGCCGCCGGCGACTGCCGGTATTCAAACGCACTTAGCTGGCTCAACTTTGCACTCGGCCTGCCTGTAGCCCAAGCTCAGTGGACAAGCTGAGCTCGGAGCGGATAAGGAAGGCCACCAGCATGTAGGAAATCTTGGAGGCATCAGCGCTTGCTAGAAGCTGCAAGCACGCTGCTTGTAGCTTGGGTCCGGGCAACATTGTGAACATTCCTGGCACTAGAGAGCCAAACTTAACTTCCGAGGTCATGTTTTACTGGGTCCCAATGTGCAAACTGCGAGCCCGTCCTGTTCGGAGATGGAGCTCCGACCAAATTGTAGTTCGGGCGAGGCCTCAACTACAGCATCCTTCCCACCTGTCCCACCTTCTCACACGGTTCGGAAGGGTAAGCTTCCTCGAAACACAGCTGGGATCAAGACACCAGCTCCACCGACATCACGGAGCCTGATTGCCAAAACCCACATCTATCCTGATCCCGAATGTACAGTTGCGCACACATGCCTGAATATGCTGTTAAGAAGTTCCTCTGGCACAACAGGAATGAACGTGCTGGGACAACTGTTTTGGCTCGGATCCACATTTGTGACACCAAAGCAATCCAGAGCGCAGCCGTGGAATATTAGGCCCATCACGAATTCAATATATGATTACGCCTGCCCCGACCCCGCGCCGTGACTGCCATCCCGAATCTGTCAACTCTGCCTCAACACGTCAGCTTGTACTTTGGACTCTGACTTTCTGCTCTGTCGCATAGGCCATTGACATCCGTTTGATCAACCCTCAGGAATACAACATTCCTTCCGGGATTACAGGACGTCTCAAGCCCGAGAGAAACATGCGGCCTTGCATGTTGGGTTTGAAGCCCTCAACAAGCGCTGCACATAAGCTTTCTCTCACACTCGCAGCCATGGCGCCTTGGCTGCTCGGAAGCTGGTCGCATTCCGCAGTGACAATGTCCTGAAGCTGTGTTTGCCGCACACGCCGTCGTACGTCCACTATTGCCCATTGCACTTCCCACCGCGCCTCCTGCGTCCGGCTCCAGAAGGTTTTGCAACCCTTGATGGTCCATCGCTGGATCGGATCCGCCTGAAAACTTCCACGAAAGGAGTTGCTCAGAAGTTCCCTCCAGAGAGTTACCAACAAACGTACCATGCAAAACGCGGCTCACTGGAAGAATTGTCAAGGTCCCAGTTTGCAATCTGTTCAGCAGATTGCATGAAGCTACAAGGACAGCAACACGTACTCATTACATTACGCATTCCGCTGCACCAAAAGTTTCTTGCCCCCATGGGAAGCCCCGTCCTGAGCACTGATACCGGGTCTCTCTTCCCACCAGGCCACACGATACCTGGGCCAGCCCCATGTCCCAACACACAACACAAACTGAATACATGCCAGGCCCTGCACGGGGCGGTGTCACGAAAGCCCCACCGGCGGTCACGCACCACGCTGGGATCCAGCCGGAAGGTGAGGTCGATCTTGGTTGCAAAGACAGCACGAGAAAGCTTGGAGCCATTTGCCCCGCCATTGCATTTTCAACAACTCGCTGAACAGCCAGTAATGCGTGCAGACTGCAACAGCTAGATGCAGGGTTGCAATTTGCAGGCAACTAGTCCAAATGAGCTATGCATAACAAGCAGGGCGAGTTCGGCCTCCATTCTCTCAAATCTCCGACCCCCTCAACCAAATCTGGGTCAGCTACCTTGCCGATTTGCTCCTGACGCATGCAAGAATGAAACAAGTTCGGCAGGGCTGATCTGTGCCCGTCGCGGTGACCTCCACCACTACGGGCTGGCCACAAGACCGCAGCTGAATCGTGTACCTGGCTGCAGCTTGCGCTCTGCAGGTTTGTTTCGCATCGAAGGCGGGCTCTGCTGGTACCACTTATCCCCATCCGGCGCACGGGACAGTCACACTGGCATTCTTCCCCAAGTAAGTTCCCGTGGCATAGAGGAAGGGATTTATCGGCCAGGAGATGGTTGTCATCTCGGCAATACAGACTGTCAGAGTTAGCTCGGGCAAAGTTAAGCTGAGGATGCAGCAGTGATGGTCTGCAGAAAACCCTCCTGTGCCTCCTGACACTGGATATCCTGGGCCAAGGCCAAGGAACACAAGAAAAATCAGTCGCCTCAGGGTTGGTCCTTTTTATATTGTGTAAACTGTTCGAGTGAGCAGACAAGTGTTTGTTCTTCTCGGGTTGTTGCCGTCCGGGGCACCATGCGATCGGGTGAGGCCGGATCTGCACATATCTGCACTTCGTAACGTTCATCTGAGTTCATCTCACACACAGGCTTGGGCCAGCCAGTCGTTCGGAGTCAAAGATCGCGCAGTCAGGCAATTTCGCTACACTAGCGTTTTGCCGCCTCCGGTCAGCCTGAACACAGAATCGCGGCGGACAACTCGGGACCAGGCATCTGGGTTAGCTTGGATACCCTTGGATCCAGCCCAGGTTGATCCCATGAAGCCGGGTGGGCCGAGGCCTGCCCGGCAGCTCCGTTCGACCGACCGCACAAACCGCACTGCTGCAGCAGCGGACTCGATGACGCCTGCTATGTTGATTTGTGGATAGATCCAGCCTCGCAACGTGACAGCGCCAAGACAAAGCGCTAGGATCTGCCGGATGGACAACAGCCAGCATTCAGGCGCGTGCGTTGCATGCTCTGGTAGTCCGGTTGTGTCTGGACCTCGTCTTTACACGCGCAACAGATCGCAGAGGCATCGCCCTTTGCCAGCTATGAATCAGAAGTCCCATACAGCATCATCCAGCTGCACAACCTGCCGAGGAAGCAACGCCATTCTGGATGATGTCGAGCAGGGGCTTCTTGATGATGGTCACGACAAGGTCGCCATCTTTGCCAAGCAGTGTGCGGGAAAGATGGTACAAGCAGCGGTGGAGCGGAAAGCAACAAAGAACCTCAACTGGTTGAAATCAAGGCTTTGGCCCACAGAGTTGAGGAATTCGGCTTTGGGCATGGCCTGAGCTTCACTGGCTGAAGCAGGTTGACAGCTCAACTCTAAGCCCCAAGGTGGCGGCTTGCTTGATGGCACTTGGCGGACCGTTAGGCTCTGCAATCGCGGCCATGACCTCACAGCTTGGATCGGCCAAAGACTTCAGCACAACGTGAGAAAAATGTGTGTTTAAAAAATTACCGTCGTCTTACAATTTAATTGATCCGCAGGTGGCCAACACCGTGCACTGCTAGAGCATCCTGGTAATTATCATTCGGAGCTTCACACCTCAGGTTTTAAGCACGAGCGAGTGACGTCGCCCAGCGCCACAGCCGTTGCAACGATCTCCACGGAAAGCCGGGCCTGGCCAGTTCAGCGGCTGCTTTCGCTTTTTAGGCGCTTCTGCCCGGCCTGCACGTGCTCCGTAATGTTGGGTTCCACTATGCCCTCCCGCCATCGGTCAATAGGCCTGGCACGCGCGACGGGTTTAAGCACTGAAGCTCCCATGTCCAACCTAATCTAGCAAGTCTAGCATAACAGACATGATAAGCGCGCGACGCAAGCAACTGCTAGTGACGTGCATGACTGTACTGTACATTGGTCGTGCACCGGCAGTTTTCGGCACCTGATCTAATCGAAGAACGACACGCAGCAGCAGCAGCAGCAGCAGCAGCAAGAGAACGCAAGGCGACAACATCTGCGGCGAAAGTCAAGACGAATGACTTCTTGCATCGCAATGTCGTAGTAACTGCGTGGCACTTCAAAGTAGCTGGGCCAATGTGTTTGCAGCAGTGCAGCTCGGGAGATCTCACAGCCCCAAAAGAAGCCGGCGCACAGCAGCCAACCCGAACTCCTATCTGGAGCTTGGAGGCTGATTCGGCCGCTGGAGTGAGCTGCCCAGTCTCTTTGGAAGACGTTCGATTTCCACGATCGAAGCCAAGCCCATGTGACGGGCTACAGTACCACTGACACATGTGCCATGTGCACATCTGGATGTGGATCCGCATCTGCTGAGTGCAAACAATCTAGCCCGCATCCGATGTGGTGTGTGCGCATATTGACGACCAGCCTTGCGCTGGCCAGCAAATAGGACAGTGTTTTGACCAGGTCCTTCGAACGTGAGCACCGAAAGCACAATAAAACTCGTGACGTACATCACATGTTCTCGCATTGCTACTGTGCGCTCTCTGCACTTTTCTTCCCAGGTATCCGCTACAAGTACTTAAGCTACTTGAAAACTAAGAGCTGCTACTCCCAGGCATTCGTCCTGCGGCGCATTGCCAGCCTTCCTGGCGGGGAGCCGACAACTTCATGTCGGGCAGAATGGGAGTGGACTGGAGCGGACAAAGTTCCACCCTCGATGTTCTTGATTTCTAGCCGATTCTAGCCTAGCCGCCCTACATCGACACAGCCTGGTCAGTTGTAAATAAGCACCTGAAGACTCACGAGTGAGAAACAACGCCGCATTTTTAGTTTTCCCACGCACCATGCCTGATGTCTCCTCGGGAGCTGCGGATACGAACCACGAGGCCTGCGTTGCATCACGTTGCATCATTAACAAAAGTGCAGACCTTTGCCGCTTGCCATTTACTGTTTCCGGGTGACCGGCCAGATGTCAGACGGCCCAGGTATACGAAAAGCTCGGGCTCATCGATGGGAGCCAGATTCGAAGCCTCGTTGTGAGTCATGCGTGTGCGGATTGGCTTGTGGGGAGCCGCCTGGACAGCCAATGGCGCAAAATGCAATACGGACTTGAGGAACAGATCCGAATGGGCTCCGGCTCCTTTTCTATGAGATGCGAAATCAACACATCCTGAACCCTAGAGATCACAGCGAAGGCGGCTCTAACCGACCTGCAACTGCGAACCGGATCGGCGAAGCACTCAGAGGCGCTCGCCAAGTGCGCCAGGGCGGAGGCAACCACCTGCAAAAAGGCCACGCAGAGACCCGGTCTAGACTGCACGTGCCGAAGCCCATTTCCAGGATCTTGTAGAAAAGGGTCGGATCGCTAGCCGCCGCTAGCCAGTTTGGAATTCCCACATCGCCAGAGACGCAACCTTGCCTGAATCCCCTTCAGCCGGCCTGCTTTGTTCACAGCAGGGGCTAGCTATTGCTGTGCTGGCCTCTGCATGGAGAGGAGTGGATGTGTTCGATGTGGTGTCCTGGAAGTACTGCTCCTGCGAAGGAAGTCTGTCGAAGAAAACTCAAAGACCTGGGCCGAAGCCGTGAAGCCGTCAGACCGGTCCAGCTCCAGGCAGTCAGCACGAGTACCCAGATTCGACGAAGATTCCCAGCAGCTACAGGGCTTGCTGAATGTCCAATTACTTGATCCCACATGGAAGGTTGCGGGATTTTGCACCGTGTGCCCTGCATAAACACCGATACTACGCACTTCCACTGTTGTGAGCAAGCTCGTTTGGGCTGGAGACTTCATGGAGGCGCAGAGATGAGCATGCCGTCATCAAGGCTGTTCAGTACATTCCAGGATTGGCTGTCCTGCAGCCGCCGACTTTGCGTAGTCTCTGCACCCAAGGAATCCGGCTCCAGAGCGTTCACGATGTCATTTAGGGCCTCGGTGCCAAGTTGCTATTGGACAAGTGTTGATTTGTAGACTGGACAAGTTCCCTGTGCACTGTGCAATCAGGAATCCTGCTTCGCGGCACGTGATGGCAACGCTTGGCTAAGTGAGTGGTCATCGTGTGTCACAAACGTCGCGCTCTTCAAACTTCCTCCGACATTCGCCCAAGGCCCGGCTACTTCACAACTTGATTGCCAGAGTAAACCGCAGCCCGCCTTTCATAGTCATCCATTCTTCACAAAACGTGAGGTCAGAAATCTGTACATGAAGGCTGGAAAATCCAAGACGAGTTGAATAAAAAAACGTCTCTGGAAAGGATCCAACATAGCGTGTCTGTAGCAAGTGCTCCGTCGAAAAGCACATACATCAGCAAACTTTGGCTACATTGACTCCGTTTCTTGGAGCGCTATTGCGATCCAAGCTGCCCCCATGATGTCAAAGAGGTATGTTACCACCTGTCACTCAAAAAGGTAGCAAGACCGGAGGTGACCTCGTTCAAGACAGACGAGACTGCGTGTTTCTGGAGAACCCAAAGCAGCCGTTGCAATGCAGCGTCGAGCCGCTTCTTCCCGCGTCTCGCGCGAGACAATCGGCGCCCCGTAGATAGGCTGTGAGAGGTTCGGCATGGGCCTGCGAGCCGAGGAGCCAATTAAGACCGAAAGCCGTCGCAGTCTTACTGTTGATGCTGAGTTCAGAACAGGCCGCTGGCGGCGTTCCATTCCATCATGGACCTGTCAGCCAGTTCAATGTTCTCACCCAGGTAACATCTGTTGGATCCTGCCTGAAGTCGTAGTCGTACATGCTGGGAAGCTCAAAGACCGCAGCACATACCTGCTAAACGAGGGCTGGTCGAGAGAAGTCAAGCGATTGAGTGTTGTCGACGACTCCAACCTGACCTGCCTTCCCGAGTCCTCTTAAGCTTAGAAAGCAGGTCCGTGCGGAAGATGAATCTATGCAAGCCCGTGGGCGTGACAGACTGATAGATCAAAATCGAACACAGCAATCCACGCGCAGCTTTCCACGAAAAGATTACCGGCAGTTTCCACCCCATGTTGCAGCGCTGGGGCGTGCTGGAACCACTGAGACGGATCCGCGATTGAAGGCCCGGACCTGTTTCGGAGGAGTGGAGTAACTGCTGCCGGGTGTCAGTGGTGCCGCATCTTGGGAAAACGCTTGAACAAGCATTGCTAATAGTGTTGATGCTAATGCTGATGATTACTATGATGTTGTTGATGATGATGATGATGATGACGACGACGACCACGACGACGATGACGATACTGGTACTCGTTCTGATGGTGAGGGTGATCATGAATCTGAAGATAATGAGAATGGTGATGAAGGTGCTGCTGATCCTGAGGAACAGGGAAGAGGACTTGCGGCGTGCTGAGGCGTGAGCAAGTTGCTATGTTGGTGAAGGAAACTAGACAGATTATGCAGAATGACAGACACCTAACATCGTTTCAGGCACTTGTCAAGTCTCGTCCACAGTCCAGCGACAGGTAGTGCATCCTGCTTGTAAGAAAAAGAACCAGACCTGGCTGAAGCACCCGCCTGCAGAATCGCTTGGCGTGACCGGCGTATATACTCCTCCACAGCTTCGGTGCTGGCTGAAGGGAGGCTCGAGTCAATGCTCTGACCGCACAGTCTCGAGTACAAGCTTTGGGTACACAGCTGTATACACGGCATGCGATCACCTCATCGGCGGCCTTATCCTTCGCCTTAGACCCTGTCAAGAGGTCCAGAAGCGAAGTGACGCGATCGTAAGATGTGACCACTCTTTCTTCGTAGGCCTTAGCTAGAACAGTCCGTCGGTAGTGCTGTCACAGGGTCGCACATGCACTCTTCAGCCCGGGGTCCCTACCGGATGTGACCAAGCAACAGAGTACCGTTTAGCCTCCACGGTCAGGTCAGCTCAGGCGTCTGAGTGGGCCAGAACTGGTGACAGAAGGAGACAGACACAGAGACACATGCCGAGAGGTTGAGAGGTGATGAGGGGAGGAAGGGACGGAGGGGACGGACAGACGAAGGGAGACGAAGAGAAAGGGAGAGAAACAGACGCATGCATCCTCTACGGATTCAGGTTGCGGATTGACATGCAGCGAGTGCATTGGGGGTTATCGCTGGTGTGTTCTATGTTCCCACGTCTCCAACATGTCGAGCTACAAAGGTCCGATGGGTACAGTAGCCTCTTTAAGCGGTTTTGGGAGAGCCTGGGATGGTGGCTTGTCTGTGGAGCCTTCTAAAATCTAGAAACCTCGTGGACTTCGGGTGCGTCCCTGAAAAGGACACGGAAGACGCAGCATGCACTCTGGAACGAATGCAATACGTGGCCTCAACCCCACTGGCATCTCGTGCTCGGCCTCAACAAGGTTGATTTGTGCTGTTCGAGTCAAAAAAACGCAAAGACTGGAGAACAAAATGACAGAGAAGCAAAGCGCCGCGGCACTCTTGACTTCGCACTTCGGATCGGAGGCTCAGCTCCCAGCCCTCGAAGACATACATGCCTTGCTTCAATGGCCTTGGCAACGCAACAGTGTCCGCCATCCCAGAATAGCGTCCTGCTGACGCGGCTTAATTCTGAAGTCCTCCGCTCCACATCGTATCCTCAGTGTTTCCTTGATTGTCTCCGGGACGTATGTCGCTTCCGCTCGCCTCTCGAGCTGAGTCCTCCGCAGTGCGAGCGTGGGTGACATGGACCAGTCCTTGGAACTACCAAGCGCCGAAAACTTCCACTGTTACACAAAGAAATTGAGCATGCATGATGCGTCCTGCTCGACCCCGGAACACCACAGAACCAAGCGTCGCTATTCGCAGATGCTGGGAAGCTGACGCTAAGCGGCACCATTGCTCCGTCCGGGACGAGGGAGAACCTCGCCAAAGCCGGCTTCGGAAAAAAACGACGTTGCTGGTCCCCGAAAAAATACGATGCCTTCAATCCTGTTCGCCGACCAGAATCTGTCTGCTGGCTGCCACGAAATCACTTCAGAAATTTTCATCTAGGCATCAGACAAGGGGGAAGTTGTCCTTGTCGTCGAGTATGAAGGTGTTAGCAGCGCGGGTTGCTTTGCTATGAAGTTCTGAACAAGCTTAGCACGTCTTAGCACCATGATTGCAGCATCGCCGGATGATTTTAAGACTTCTTCGGATGGGCTGGCATCCCTTAGGGGCTGTTGCAGCTGGCTCTCATTTCTGGACAGGGTTCGCGAACCCTGGCAAAGTGCAAAGTCTCAGGGCGATGAACTGCGGCGACAGTTGCACTGAGCATTACTCGAGGCTGTAGCAAATGACATTTCCGTTTGCGAAGCGCCTCAGACTTACTTAGGATCCGGCAGGCGTTGGTCCGTGAAAATGTCCGTCTCAAAATTCCGGAGCTCGACCTCGACTTTGAGGCTTCGACCTTCCTCGCTGAACATTCATCCTTTTCTGCCGAAGAATGACTCGACTGGGAATGCCCAGAAGACTTTCTGCGTGAGGCTGGCACCAGGAATTGCTCGCGCCTTTCCTCCGGGACCTGTCGTTTTTTTCGAGATACCTACCGAACATCCAGGCAACTCTAAACCGAAAACCCGATAAACCTTAAAAGCACCAGACCCTGTAACCATAAACCCTCAAGCCCTAAAACCCTACGCGCTTGGCTTTCATGCTCTGATTATACCCCAGTTGTGGTGCCAAGCACTCGGATTGCATTGGAAGGATCGCAGTGCAGCACATGTTGTACTGTACGCTCACGCTGGTCGACGCCAGACGCAAACGGGCCCGGCAGCTGATGTGTCCGTTTGCCATGTGACGAAACCGCATTGCTGCTACGACTCGACCACAGACTCGGAAGGGACACCTGATTCCAATGGCAGCGGGTGATTTATGTGTGGTGAGCAAGATAATATCGCTTCCAATGTCGTTTGGGCCTATAAATGGCGGTTCCTGCCTCTCCGTAGTAGAAGGTGTACTCCAGCGGCGGGTTCTGCAGTCGGCTTTGTTCGCAACAGCAATGCATGCTCCAGGATAGGAGAACCCATCATCAACAAAGAAGTCGACATCAAACTTTTCTGTTTGCTACAAGTACTTGCACGGATACATGCGCTGAGACCAGGACGTCCGTGGCCCATGCTTGCTGGAGACGAAACACATCCTCAGCACAAGGTCAATCCGCTTGGTGAAACACGACCATCCAAACGTTTCTCGCAGCTGAAAACGCAGCTCTGTTGCAAAACATTTCCTGTGAAAGCCCCCAACGAACTCAGTTCCTCACTCGAGGACGCTAGGACCCCGACCGACATGGCGATTCCAATGCGTCCCACAGGGTCGAGCCTGTGAATTCAGAGCATGGTCGGGTCCGGCCAAACAGGCTTGACCGAAGGATCACTATCTGGCCGCCGTCATGCCAACGTACGGAAGGCCCCAGCACGTCCAAACTGCCAGCTGTCGGGCCCCAAGGGATGTTGAACACTTCCTGCACGAAGAGATGCAGACGATATGGAGGTTCTGTCAATCAGAGGCAGCAGGCAAGTGCTCTCGGGCAGTCCGAATCCACTTGGAGAATGCCAAGATCCACCCTGAGTAGGCTACCGCAACAAGGTTCTACAGAGCATGCGGAGTGAGGGAGGAGGGAGAGAAGAAGTAGGAATGAGCGAGGGGGCGGGAAGTGAGGGACGGAGGAAGTAAGAGAGAGAGAGAGAGAAAGAGAGAGAGAGAGAGAGAGAGAGCTAGAGGGAGTGAGGCAGAGCACCAGATGCAAGGGCAGGGAGAGAGGTGGTGCATGGTGCGGGGGAGGGCTTATCGAACATTTAAGGTTGACAATCTGAGTTCTTGCTCTTTGCATTGTCGGTGCGGGCTTTTATCTATTCTTCTGAACCCAGCTTTGTGGCCACGGCCGGGGGGCGAGCGCAAACTCCGGAAACACGGGTCCGACCCGAGGCTTTTGCGGATTCGTGGCGGGTTCCGTGTCCATGTGGCGCCCTGCGGCCTCAGGCAAGCATGTCGATGAGCCGAGCGCAACCTCTTGTGAGAGAGGCTCCAAGCGGCCGCAGCGCTGTAAGAGAATCGCAAAACAGCACTCGCTCTGGCTTGCACTTGCAACACCACACCAAGGGCGTGGTTCACGACGGAAAGAACTGAGGAAGCTTCAGTCGTCGAATCTTTGCCGGCCGCCAACAGCCGTTCCTTGACAAGGCAGGGCTGGAAGTCGAAATGGCCACTTGCAGCACCGCATGGCACCGCAACTGCAGGAGGAAGCCTTGTATGCCGTGAGCTCGAAGGCTTTCTTCCGCCTTGGCGACGCAACAAAATTCAGCCAACCCTCCCAGAGAGCTGAGCTTCCGGCCCAGCTGTAAGCAGCCTGCGCGAAGACACAGCTGGTGCGAAGTGCAGCCCTTGGCCTGGCCGGCCTGGCCTGTAAGAGTAGATGAAGCCCTTCTCGAGATCGCTCCGGTCTGCTTCAACGTACAGCCAAAGCCTTGGACTCTACGTTGGCCAAGCAAGGACATGGAACTCCATGTCGACTGGGGGACGGGCGAGTTGGCAACAAAGCCAGCCATGTCCTGCCAATGAAATGGGGAATGCATGCCTGTCACGCTCTGAATCTAACCATATCTAACCTAACAGGCTAACGAGCAGCAAGACTCGCATACCATTCCCATTCCGCCACGCCTTGACTCGGTTGGTGAAGGTGAGCTGCAAGGAGTCAGGTGTGAGAACTGTACACAACATGCAACCCAGCACTCTTCTTTGTTGCTGTACCACGTCTGAAGCCCAGCCTCTTTGTATGCCCTCATGTAATTTCGCGGCTGGCCCAAGATGCCACGCATCAGAAGGATCCTCAGCATCGGCGACTGTGGAAGCAGAGTCCGACTGTCAGAGACCGTCAGCCGCCGTCAACCTGTCAGGAGAAACTAGGCAGCCAACGTCGTCCGTGCATGTGTACCTTCCATGTCCACCGTGGGAACCTCGAGCGTGCCGAGTGTGGGAGACAAACGGAGCAAGTGAGGACGGCTCTTCGGCTTGTGTCACTCTCAGGCAGCGAGGCTTCTGTACAAGGCAATGCCGGGGCTTCGTTTAGTAGTTGCAACTCAAACCCGAGCCGATGCTTGCCTTACAGCTTGCTGAGAGCGAAGCCACGCACGCGCCAAAGCCCACCTGTTTGAAGATGGCCTGAACCTGGGCACATCTGGGCACGGCAAGATCCGAAAAGCATTTCCCAGAAACACCTCTCGGGGAGGAGCCGAACCCGTCGGACCGACCGTCCCGCTAGGACCATCCACACTGATCACAGGGACGTCAGCCTCCCGAGCGCCAGCAATCTTCACGACGCAGTGCACCGTGTGAGCGCGGAACCACTGAACAAACATGAAGCTATGAGACCACCAAGCCATGTGATGAAGTGCACTGCTGTTGATGCTCGCGCATCGGCAACATGGTCTTCACTCTGAGCGGGCTGAAAAGCCAGAAAAAAACATTGGTACATGAACCTGCTACGACGAATGACACCTGGAATGGCATGCCATTCAAACGCGATGTACAAGTAGCGTGTTCTGTCCTTCTTGTCCACCATCACTGTGGCACTGGCAGATGAGACTAAACCTGCAGCGCCAACCAGATTTGCAATGCTTTGCACGCGCATGGCATAAGAATTCGCAACGCCGACATTGCACCATAAGACAGACTCGTCCAGTCACCAAGCAGGGAACTGGGATAGAGAGCATCATGGACCTCCACCGTGAAGACATAGAGGCCTGGGAAGCTGATGGCAGCTAGTAAGCAGCCCTGAAGCTTGTGGGAAAGACATATCAGGTTCCTGAGTGTCATAAGGCGAGGTGCGAATCCGCTCCGAATCAAGTTCCACCAAACTAACTGATCGAGCATGGAGAAATCGGAGCGCTGCCCAAGGCAGTCACCCACAACCCCTTCCTACATCTCGAACGTAGAATGACACTCCCTTTTAGCGCACGGCCTTCTGGCAGGATCGCCTGGTTCGTCAATTCAGAGGCGCAGTTTCTCGCATCAAACGACCGAGAATGTCCATGGATCTGCTTTGGCGTGGTATGATGCAGCCGAGATATTTTACTTTAAAATTCTTACTATTTCTTAGGCTCCAAAAACCATCGCATTGCCAGGGTTGGGGGAAACGGGGCAACTCATTTGCACTATAGGTACAAGAATAAAGACCAGCAAATGCTATCCATCCACATCCGCACACATGCGAAAAAGCATGAGTCTTCACGTGTCATTCCGGTCTCGTGTAGGGTAGGCATTCGCAATTTCGGCAGGGTCTTGAATCCTTAGAACTGCATCCTCAGTGCTGCTGAAGCCCAGGATGCAGGATATGACAAGTGCTGTCTAAAGTCTCGCCTATGAATTTCTCTGCGCACATACCACGCCTGATTCACAGTAGCAAGCACAACTTTGTGCTCTATCATATCAACATAAGCACGAGAGCTTGCTAAGCTAGTGACACATCTTTCGCTTGATAGACACCCCAAACGATCCCAACCATCTTGGCCTGCGGAACCAGCAGCTGCGAGCCCGTGAAAGCTTCGAGATCGATCAAGGCCAAGGCAACATTGGGGACCTCGAATTGCGCACCACTGACTGGTCCACATTCTCTAGTTTCATCGCCTCATCAGGAAACCAAGTGCCAACGACCCCTGGAACAGACACGTGCGCTCACGATGAGGTGGAATCAAGGCCGAAAACTCCTTAAGCTTAGAGCACAAAACAGTCAGCCCTTCTCGTGTGCAGGCCAGTGACAGAGTACACCAGGGCATCGTCGGTTCCCAGTGCCAACTGGCGGACTCGCCACCTGAAAATTTTGCACAGCATATCCAGACATAGTGTGAGGAGGCGTGTCAGGGCCCAAGATATCATAATGCTTGCCCATGCAGAAACCGGCCAGACGCATCTACAATGGTTTGCAATTTTGAGCTTAAAAGCAGGCGCAGTTACTGTATGTTACTGTGGAAGCACTGCACCACCCGAGGACACAGCGAATACTGCAGGCCCATCACCGGCGCCTCGCTCGGACGATTTCGAGCTCTATTGAGGTTGGATGCATCTGAAGATTGCGAGTAGTCTCGTGGCATCGTAGCCTGCAATGCATACCTTGTGCGAGCACTAAGAGTAAAACAGGCTTCGTGCGGATGCCACTTCTGCCTGCCTCCTCAATACAGCTCGCTGGTGGCTTGGAAGTTTACGGTACATGTCCCACTGTTGAAACTCTGGCACACATGATGGCACAGGCTGCATGTAAAGTAATCGCTGCCTGGGTCGGAGGTGTCTGATTTGCCTCAAGCACGGGTCGACTCAGATTGACTGTGAACTTCGGCGAGCTCTCGTGTTGTTTCGGCTGAACACTCAGAGGCAGAGGATGGCAGAGGTGTCTCAAAACCAGACCGGAAGCAGAAGGCCCTTTCCGAGTCTCTCATGGCCTGAAGACGGCGGCCCAAGGTCTCCGTAGTGAACATGAGCTCGCGCGCCATGCCTTCGCTCGCGTGCAATGCGGGCTCATCTTCTACTTCCATCGGCACGTCTTCAGATCATCGCCAGACGATGCCAATATGACAACTCCTCTTGTGGTTATGTGAAGTACTGACATGGGACAGATTTCGCAAGCCGAAAGTTGGATGGAACGATCCAAGCGACTCTCGGAAGCGTCCAGTGCAAAGGAGCAGTCGTCGTTGTTTGCACGGTGGGGTCCCACGAGGCTGGCCTCAGCAAGTGTGAACGAAACCGAAGCCCAGTCTCTGAAGCCGTGGCTCCACTGCAAGCAAGCGAAGCAGTAACACAACTGTCATCCCCCTGACTAGCAGATGCCTCATCACAACCTTGGGGCTTGGCCACAGGTGGCTCGAGGTCCCCCACAGTGATCGTGAACGGAACATAGGAGCCCTGCGCAGCTCGCTGCAATGGGTATTGAATGGGCTTGATGCCTGCACGCCGCACAGCAGGAAGTCGAGATGAATGAAGACGATGTACGTAGCTGAAGGCGCCAGCGGGGACTTTGTCATTTGAGAGCTTAGCGCTTGAAGTGACGCTAAAGCACTGAGAAGCCTATCAAGCGTGACGAGTGGGCCATGTTCTGGGATTCAAACGATGGGTACATCCGAATATCTTGTGAAAGGCGTGCGTGGAAGAACTATAAGTCACTATCCTGGGTCGGCGGGGCATGGGGCGTGGGTAGGTGCAGCACCTGGGCGCAGACAGGTGCAAACATGTCGGCAGCTCGGGTCCGTAGTGGGTGTGTGGGGAGGTACGACACATGGGTCAGAATAGGAGCCTGGATGGGTCGGTAGTGGATGCGAAACGAGGACCGTTCGAGGACCTTTCGACGATCCGCGAGAACTGTTCGAGGACCATCTGCAGACCCCGAAAATGCCTATGTAGGCTGTTTCAGGGTCTTCCAAGAGTCCTCGAACGGTTCTCGAAGGAAGGGTCCTCGAACGGTTCTCGAATGGTTCTCTTCCTTTGCAGGGTCCCCATGTCCGAGCCGCACCTCTGGACCAAGAAACCCAGCAGCTTGCCCGTGTGTTGCCGAGGTCGCACATGTGGACCCGAATCCTATAGCCCCAGAAACATCATGTGGAGACTGTGCCATACAGTACCTTGCCCATGTGCACGCCGCACATCTCGACCCTGAAAGCCCTCATTCCGGCCATACTTCAAGCCCCTGAAGGGTATTTGCCATCATCAACGAATATGTCTGCAGCTTGTAAAAGCTGCTGTCTCGCCTCGTTCTCCGAGTGCACAGCATAGGCAACACGAGCCGAAAACTTCCTTTGCAGTGACGGCAACAGTTTCGATGAGCCACTACAGACCTACAGCCTGCCGCGTCAACACGGCACTGATACAGATACCAATGATCACGATGAGCAGATTATCCAGCGACCATGGTTTGAAACAAAAGCTGTTGAATGCAGCTACTTAGTCGGCCTGTCGACTGCAACGAGTCTCAATATTGTACTTGGAAGTTTTTCCAAGTGCGGCTTTGTGATACCTTAAGCCACGCCGGAGTAAACCTCTTCCAAGAGCAATGGCAGAGTTTAGAAGAACGTCGGTGGCATGTCTCTGGAAGGGACAGAAAGGATTGCGACTTCCAGAATTCAGCAGGCCTGACCATGTCTCCTCCCTGAGCACATCCACCCTTGCTCTTGGGCCCACACCAAGTGGAACCGGGCCGCATAATCTCCCCTCTGAGCAAAACTTCCTGGGAGCACAAGACGTAGCCCACACTGACTGAACGAGCGCAAACAATGCAGATGCCTCTACTACGTATCGCTGGCATTACACATACAATCCAAAGAAGCTGTGGGCTTTGGCAGTTCCCTTCTCTCAGCCACCGGCCAGCACGTTCGCACTGGCGCTCTCGTCTTTGAGGATCTGGCAGCAGCTCTCTTGAACAAACTGAAGCCTGAAATTTGAACAGCTCCCCACCCCTGCAATCGTAGCTTCCTAAAGCAAAAAGGAAAGTAGCCAGAAATGGAGCTAATTACAATGGCTCAGGATTTCGGGCTTCCGCCGTCAATGAGATTGGCGCATGCATTCTAGAGTTTCTTCTTGAGTCGCCGAAATAAGCTGTCCATTTTCGGGTTTCGTTTCTGAGTCACCGAAAGAGTACGTCAGTCTCAGAACCATAAGCACCCCAAGAAGGGAACCTCCTTGTCTCCAGTGCCCCTAACCCTAAACCCTCAATTCCTAAATCCCTAAACCCTATAAACCCCATAACCACTGAACACAGGCAGAATTGTCTCACTGACAACTTTGTGGAAGAAACTGCTGCCATGCTTGAAGACCACCAACTCTGATACTCCGGGTAGCAATATTCACTGACAGGACTCCAACGGAGCTCTGATCCGATGCGTGGTTCTTCACAGAAAAGCAAAGACACCGAAGCAAACACTTCCAGCAACGCCAACACTGGGCAAGGAAGTTGCAGCAACACATGCCCGTGGACATTAGGAAAATTGTGCTGCTGGGTTCTTATCCGACTACCATTAGGGTCTCCACCCTGAGGTAAATGCCGTCAAACCAAGGCTGCTGAATGGCACCTTGGACATCTCGAAGTGTCTTGGCACCATGCCGTTAATCACCTGCTCACTCAAGGTTTGCAATTCGCACCGATGATGCATGCCGTGTAATAGTGCCGCCACGAGGTCACCTTTAGGACAAAGCATGTGCAAGGCACGTATGCATCCCTGCATGTTGCATGACCATGGCAGCATAATTCATGCAGACACGCTCCCAATTCATGAACTAGCACTTGATGCCAGCAAGGACCTCAGTGTGCCTAAGCTGCAAGCCCCAGGCACGTCGCACGAATCACCATGACTGCAAGGGGCAGGAGGTATTGCTCTTCGCTTGGAAACTCACTGTAGCCTCGCCGTAGTACCAGTCGACCACGACCCGGCTCTCCGATCCGTCGGGGTTCGGGGCCCGTGTCAAGTTGCACCTCGGACCCGGCTTCTCAGGAAGCAAGTTGAGCTCTTCGAAAGCCTTCAGAAGCCCTTTCATGTCATTTGCCGCCATGGCTTCAAAATCAACACGAAACTGCTTGGACGAAATGCTCCTCCCGTCTGACATTTAGTGCCAATATCCCTTAGTAAACCCAGAGTAGAATCCCGAATATGAACACTGTTTTCTTATGCTCTTCCTGACTCATGGCCGGTGAAACTGTCGAACTTCCGAAAGTCTAGCAGCTGAGGGCTGCGGCGAGCATCTTCCGATCATCTGCGCATCACTCTCACTGGCCACCTTTATGGCATGTTCGTGAGCTCTCGTTCTTGACAGCCCCCTCGGGGGCAGGGACCCACAATGGCCGAAACAGGAACAACAGAATGATGGCTTGGATTTCGGTTTGCTATTGGAGCTACCTCGAGCAACCACTGCCTCCAAGCGCAGTCGTCCAGTTGGCTCCCCCTGAAGACGCTGTGGCTGAATGTGAACCTCGGCAGTGAAGCGGTGGAAGCTTGCTTTTCAAGCATCGAGCCACCCAGACCCGTTCCACCCGACCGGAACTGACGCTAGTGCATTCATTACCTTCATGTTCATTCCGACCTACCTACCGACCGACCGACGAACCGACGGGCCTACCCACCTAACCTGCCTGCCTGGCTGCCGGCCTGGCTGCCGTATGTCTACATGCAAGCATGCATGCGTGCTTGCATAAGTACATACATGCAGACCTACACATGTACACATACATACATCATACACACATACGCACATGCGTATGTACGTATATACATATATGCATATATACATCTGAGCATGCCTGCATACATAGACAGACAAACAGACAGAAAGACAGACAGGCAGACAGACAGACAGACCACGACGAGTACCTAAATACATATCATACAATCATACAAACACACACACACACACATACATACATACATACATACATACATACATACATACGTACGTACATACATACACAGAGACATACGCACATACGTACATATGTGCATACACGCATAGAAACAAAATCACGTACATACATGGATGCATACACACAGATATGTGTCAGTACAGAAAGATATACACATACCTATACCTACACCTAGACCTGCACCTACGTGCATATGTGTGCATGTATAGGCAATACATACGCGAAAAGAGACAATATACATTACGTATCCCTACATATATGCATATGTATACATATACCTATATGTGGACATGTACATATACATGTGCAGACACACACCCATATATGCGTAAGTGAGCCCAACCCCTCATTAGGCCGCGGCGGGTGATAACACATGTCGTGTCCTAAACCCCGCCCCTCGATAGGCGATCGCGATTGTTCACATGCCTTAAACCTGCCCCCTGATCAGGCAACGGCACATCTTTTTGAAACCCGGCCCCTCAACAGGCGATACTAGGCGATGTCTGGTGATCACACATTTCTTAAATCCGCCCCACAGTTGTTAAACCCGCCGCCTCATCAGGCGATGTCGGGTGCAACTTTCATTTCTTGAAACCGACCACTCATTCGTCGATGGCTGACGATCATACTCCTTCAAATCCCGCCCTCCTCAGGCGCTGCTGGGTGATCACACACTCCTTCAACCTACGCCCTCATTAGGCGATAACGCGCATTCTTTAACGCCGTCATTAGTTGATGTAGGTGATCAATCGCACATGTCCTCACCCCCCAACCCTGTCATGCGGATGGATCACACTCACACTTCTTAACCCCCAACCCCTCATCAGGAAACGGCACATCTTTCTGACACCCGGGCCCTCATCAGGCGATGGCGGGCGATGACACATTTCTCAGATCAGCCCCCTAATGCTTAAACGCGCCACCTCGTTGGGCGATGGCGGGTGAAGCTCGCGTTTCTTCATAGTTATTCAACATGCCCCCTCATTCGTCGATGAGCGGTGATCATACTTCTTCAAATCGCCTCCTCCTTAGCGGATGGCGTGTGATCAGACATTTCTTCAACCCGCGCCCCCATCAGGCGTTGGCCACACGTTTCTTCAAGCAGCACCCCTCGTTAGGCGACGACACCCATTCTTTAACCATAGACAGACAAAGGTTGAGGTGAAGATTTCAAGCATATCGACATTGACGGGGTTGTGATCTAAATTTCTTAATCTAGGAATGACCACCTTCGCGTACAAAATACTTTCGCAACACCATCGCAAAACTTTTGCACATGCATATCTACACACCTTTGCAAGCTTTTATCCCCAAATGAGCAAGAACTCTTCGGGGGCTGCCGAGGGCCCTTCTCGGCGGTTTCTTGAAACTTCTTGCAGAGCCCGTAAAGCCATTCAAACGTTTCTTACGGTTTCGAAGGGCATGTTTACGAGCTGCTCAAAGTTGAGCCATTGCGTCTCGAAGATGTCTGAAAGGCTTTCGCAAAGCTCTCCGAGAGTTTGTCAATGGGAGTCTCAAGAGTATCTGCCAGATGAACTGAGAGCTTCTACAAGGCTTCGCAAGGGGTTCAAGGCTTCGCACATACAATTAGCCCTTGTCCAGATCTGGCTGTGTCGACTTTAACAACACTTACGCCGAACTTTCGCACTACTCCCTGTACTGGAACTTGATTCTGGCACTGCGCGGCGGCCTACTGCGTGATGCGAAGCAGTAGTAGCAACAGTAGCAGCAGCAGCAGCAGTCGTCGTCGTCGTCGTGGTAGTCGTCGTCGTCGTCGCAGTCGTAGTCGTAGCCGTAGTCGTAGGCGTAGTCGTAGCACTAGTACTAGTAGTACTGGTAGTAGCAGTAGTAGGAGTAGTAGTAGTAGTAGTAGTAGTAGTAGTACAAGTAGTACAATAGTACAAGTAGTACAACAAGTCGGCTAAATAGACAAGTTTCGCCTGAAATGTTTCATTTTGCGGCAGCATCGCGAAACTTTGGCGAAGGCGCGTTTGGCTATGGAGTTGGCCGTTCACCTCAAAGACCTTCAGATAAACTACCATATAAATCATACAAGTATGATATAGACTTTGCACGTGTGTACATATATATATATATTTGCAGATGTTAAACTGAAACCCGGGCGGGACCCTGACCCCCATACAGCTGTGTGCTGTGGAAACATGCGGTGCTTGCTAACTTGCACGCTGACAAGCTTTGCACAACACACACACACACAACTAGCAGAGGAAAAAACACACACACACACATCGGTTTGCACGGGCCTCATTCGAGCCAACTGCCCCGGCTGCAGGGATGCGCCTAGGATGGCTTGTGCTTGATCTTGGGCTTTGGAAGCTGTTCTAATCCTTGCCAGACGAAGGCGTTACATGTTGCTACATTCTGCAAAGCGGTTCAATACAATGCCATTCTCTCGCAGGTGCAGAGCGTGCCGCGATGAAAACTCACGACATTAGCTCCAACCTTGCTGGAGGCTGGGCATCACACGTAAGTGGGAGAATTCGAGTCGTCCAAGTGTCATACGCGGCGTAGCCTGCCATCATGTGCTTCACAAGTTCAAACACGTAACAGCCTCCCGGGCCCTACTTAGCAGTGCAGGAAGTCTGGAAAGCAGCCGGGACCACCATCCGCCCGTGTCAGGGTGACTCCGAGTGTGATGGAGGAAAGCCTCCGGTCGGCATGAGTCCCGGTTTCGCACAAGGAAACCGCGAGGGTAAGCGCGCAAGTCACGGATGTGGAAGCTGAATGATAGGTTTTCGGCGCTCGGGGTCGGGAGCAAGAGCTGAGATCGTCGCCCGCACCAGGTGGCTGATGGGATCACCACACGCAGTTCACACCTGTTAAGAATGGCACGACGGAAATAGCAGGAGAAAGGAAAGCAATATTGCAAAGGGTACATCGCTTAGGTGCCGGACGTCTGGGCCACAAGCTGTTGCTCGAATCCAAGGCCACACCATGGCCTCGATAGATCCGAGCAGTTTCAGCTCGGAGAATTCAATATTGAACCTCGTGAGGCAACTTGACGACAGTGAGATGCAGACGTCTCTTCAAGTTTGCTTTCTGTCTCAACTCAGGCTTTGGATGATCCCAACTTCAGCTGATAAGCAAGGCCTGGAGGAGCACAAGACACTGGCTTCCGCTTTGCCGCTATGCTTGATCGGTTCGTGTCACGAACACGCCACGAGCGAGATGTCGACCCAGAGTTCTCCGTCTCCGAAAGTCTTGCTACAAGACAATGAACCTGATCTCTGAGCCTGAGCCTTGAATGAGACGTGGAACAATCCAAATGCCTTCGAGGGTCGTCCCGGCCAGACACGCACATCTTGAGGTATGCACTTCGCATTTAGCAGCGGCTGGATCCGAGTAGCGCAGGCTGAGAACCTGGCAGCCGTGCACAATAGGGACCTGAAGTTTTAACAGGCCTGCGCCGCAAAGCTTAAAGCTGCCAAACTCCGGGCTTCGCAAGTTTTGGTCCGCAGGATTTGGTAAGGGGGCTGGGCTGCAGAAACAAAGCTTGCAACCCAGACTGCATCTCCGCGCAAGTTGATTGGGGGGCTGTTCGTCACGGATCTGTGCAGGTCTGGGGCGCCCCGGCAGCCGATCCTGGCTCTCCTGTGGAAGCGAACCATCCGGCCTGGCCGCTGCGACGGGCTCGCCGAAGCAGCAGGAAACTCTCACTGTAAGCCGTTGTTTTGTGAGGGTCGAGGTCATTGAGCTGAGTCCTTCTATAGGTCCGGGATCCGGGTCGAAGGTCACTGACAAGATAGTCACGACGTGCGTCACGACCCTGGAGGATCTCGGTACGATACTTACGAGATGTTACGAGATGCCTGACAACCACTCTAAGCTTCCAATCTTATGCTCACCATGTCAATCACGATGTGCCAGAGGTTATTTATCGATGATCTCTGATCGTGGTCGGCACCGCCGCGATGACGGCAAACAGCATGCACAATAAAGATCGCAGATGATGGCAACCATCGCCAATTGTGGAGTGCGTGCGTGCACGTGCATTTGCGCATGCGCGTTTGTGCGTGCGCGTGCGCGTGCGCGTG